GATAGAGGCCTTCTTCATCAACTTTGCGCGGTTCCATCAACCATTATTCTTTCAACCGCGGTTCCGTCAACTCCGTTAGCCGTTTCCTTCAACCAAAAATGTTGCGATTCATTCAACTCAGAGTCCCCGCTTCACTCAACTCTGCAATGGTGTCAACGCACTTAGGCTGCTCTTGTTCACGTCTCAGATTCAATGATGCAACCCTCACCGTTAAAGAATAACCGCTGCCTTGAACCTGGCTGCCGCCGTACGTCACGCGCCGGCTGCGGCAGCTCGAGGACAAGGACAATTATCGCAACAAACTTGGGGAGTTAGGGTTTCAGGGCTTTGGTGCTTTAGTGACCATGGGTGTTTCAACTAGTCAGTTGCTACAGTTGGCAGCGCGCGATGCTTTATGTTGAAAATGCCTCAGGCTGTTTGACGTTCAATCAGTTCTCATGATCCGTTCAGCCACGGCCAGATGATCCATGCAATGTCTTTGGACTGAATGTGGCTTGACACCGATTTGCTGATTTGCTCTCAGCATCCCAAGTCTACTTTGAGGAAGAAGAGTGTTGATTCCTCTTCCAATTTCAGTCGCCAGCAACATAGACCTGGCTCTGATTGCTATGGCTGATATGGTGGACAGCGACGCGGACTCACACCGCTCCCCTACAGAAGGACTGCCACCGGCACGAGGCCGCTTCACTCCCACATTCTCTTGCATGTTGGCCAGGAGGTACGACACCTGAAGCTCACACGCCACCAGACGACCTCGAAGGACCACTAGATGTTCCTGCGCTTTCTTTTCACTTCTCACTGCACAAGCAGTATATGCTGGCCAGGAGTGCTGACACCTGAAGCTGACACGGCACAAGACTCTGCAGGACCATTGTTGCCGCCACAGTTTGTTGCGCTGTTCTTTTTCTTCCCGATGCCCAATCAGTACATGCCGGGCAGGAGTGCGGACACCTGAAGCTGAACCGCCACTAGACGCCCCTGAAGGACCATTGCCGCAAAATTCCTTTTCGCTTTCCTCTTTCTCACTGCCTCAGCAGTACATGCCGGGCAGGAGTGCTGATACCTGAAGCTGAGCCGCCACAAGACGCCCCTGAAGGACCTTGCCGCCGGATTTTCGTTAGTGTTCCTCGTTTTGGTTCCCGCTGCTGAAGCAGGAGTGCCAGCACAGCCTGCCCGTCGACCGCGGCAACGTCGCGGTGCCTGGCAGGAGTTGGCTGAGGAGACTCTGGAAGCGGTGCCGGCCAGTGTGGATGACTTCCGAGGCAAGTCAGTGCAGCCATCCGTCGCGCGGTCTGCAGCTCCTGTGCTCGCCAGGCTGGCTGAAGACATGGATGGCACGCAATGGCTTCCCGAAGGCATACCTCAGCAAGGTCCAGGTGGCTGACTCGACAGGCAGCGCCTTCGCCTCCTGTCGGTGCAAGGCGCGGGCATCTATATGCCCCATGTCAGCCCCCCCATCGCCTCCCACCCCACAGAACAAAAACACAATTGCCAGGCGGGGTGCGAGCTCACGTTGCGATGGCGGCTTCGTGGCTTTTCCTGTACTCCTTCCTCTCGTGGAGAACACCCCGCAACCAACGACCCTGTGCAGGACGAGGCTAAGGCACGGCACGCGGACCGAGTCAAGCATCTGCCGCCCTTGCGAGCTCTGGTGCAATTGCTGTCGGAGCATGTTCCAGAAGAGGCGGGCATGATTCGCTTTATACGGTCAGGGCTTCCAGACTCCGAAATCCCAAACCAAAACAAAGCCTTGGCCGTGCTGTCAGGAGATGCCAGATGAGGCAGAGCTGGCCAAAGCACACAGGCGCTGCATCAAGGGCACAGGCAGCAAGCGCAAGATAGACACCACTTCCGGTGATGTTGTCCAGGCCTGGCTGGATTTCTTGGCAGTGCAGTTTTCATTACGGGAAGCAAAAAGTGGCCATCAGCTGAAGTACTGGGCTGCTGAGCTGCGGGACGACGACGGCTTCCTCCCCTTGAGTGCCCTCCTGCAGCCGGCGCCGGCAGACGAGAAGGTGACCCGGGAACTGCTGTCATGCAGAGTGACAAAATGATGGAGATGGTTGCCCTGGTGCTGAGGACGTGCCCGCCGGTGCTCCTGTGTGACGTCACCTACAAGATCAGCAACAGTGGTTGGGGGCTGGCGCTTTTTGCGCTTGCCTCTCAGCATCTGGATGCACACACCGCGTGGCCGGCCTCGCAGGCCATCATCATCGGAGCCGCCTGGGTGCCGAAGGAGAGCTATACCAGCTGGCTGGCAGCTCTGGCAACAATGCACCGCATCTGAATCTACCTCCCCTTGCACTTGCATGAGAGGGTCCGCGTGGTCATGTTCGATGGGACAACTGGGGGGGAAAAGGCGGTCAAGTGCCTCCTGCCGGACGCGCTGCTGGCCAGGGATGTGCGCCACGTGCAGGCCAGCCTGTCTGATGTTTTTGGCATGGCACCTCATGGACGCCGGGAGCACCACAGAACGGACTGCGCGAGCCCGACGTGCAGGGGCTGCTGACACAGAACAGCTTGTTTACCACTCCCACAGCACCCAAACGCCAAAAGGTACTCTTCAAGAGAGCTTGTTTCCGAATCCCACACCACCCAAACGAGAGTTGGTCTCGTTGGAGTGCCTCTTGACACGTGTTTTGGATTCGCTGGCTGCCAATCCCCATTCCTCACCCCGACACAAAACGCTTCAGGCACCAGTCCACCTCGTTTGCAGATGGTGTTTCTGTCCACATGGGTTCTGCAGAGGGGAGGGGCGGAGGGGAAAGGGATAGGGAGGGTCTTCTGGGCGTTTTCCGCTTCTCGGCGGACATGTTACATGCCTGCCTGACATGGCCAGCGGTTGCAGAGAATAGTCCGTGAATTCTCTTGCTGATGTCGGGGTCCACATGGGTTTCAGATGGTTCTTGTCCGAACTTTGTCTTTTTTCGCGAACCTTCGGTCCTTGCCTCAGACAGGCCAACGTCAAGAAGCACAGTTCGCCGTCATCCTCCACTCCGCTCGCATTGCGGGACTACTTGGCATCCCGGGTGCTCTTCAGCGCCGCCCTGCCTACGCAGACGCTCTTCACGCTTCTCTGGGATGAGGTACTCAATTCCTTGTGTGGACGGCCAGAAATGCAAACATATCCCAGCCAGCACTTTGCTGCAACGCCCACGCCACGAATAATGTCTGGGAGGCACCCTGGTGGGCTGGACTTTGCAGTGGCCTCAAGGGCGGCTTCACCACCCTGACTGCCTTTCAGGCCCTCGAGCGGACCCTGAAGTCGTGCTTGCCGTCCAACTCCCATCTGCTGTCCATTCAGGATGTCAGTGAGCGCATCGAGAGACTCTGCAGCACCTGTTGTCGGCTCCAGGGTTCAGCAGCCACTGAGCAGTTCCTCCGGGGTTCCCCAATGCTCAGAAGCCCTCTCCAAGCTAATTACCACTATGCAGCCAGCTAGAGACTCCGCGACAAGCTTTTTTTTGGGGTACGTCCCAGGACAGGCTTGCAAGCCATCTACCGGAGGCGCCGCTGGATTGAGACTGCGACTGGCGACCTCCAGCCAGATCAGATCGTTCCGCGGCCCCAGGCTTCGGGTCTGCTGCTGTGCGGCTCGTTGGTAAACAAAGCCTGGAAGTTCAGTTGACTCACCCTGACAAGGTCGTGGCCCGCTTCGTGAATGGAGATTGGTTGCAGACTGAAAGAATGCCTTGGGAGGGCAAGCGTCAGTGGAAGGTGCCAACCGCTGCGTGCTACCTGGAGTATGCGCCGTCCAACTACATGACGAAGGAGTTACAGGAGTTTGGCGGGATGCGGGTTCGGTCCGTAACCTTGATGCCCTTCGACAGCCCCGACTGGAACATCGACCCCGACACCTTCGAAGCTATGTGCGGCTTGGTTCTGGCCAAATCAGTGGAGCAAGCGCTCACCTTTCTTTCCAAGTTGGGGGCCGTGAGGAAGGATGGCAGGGTGAGTTTGTCCCACTTTCACTCGCTCATGACCAACCTGTGCTTCGTTTTCCAGACTGGTCAGCATGACTGCTGCTGCACATGCCGCCCTGCTGCAGTGTTGTTGCGCATGCCCTGCACGCATGCGGTGTCGTTTTACACTGAGGTCGAATCTATGCCCGGTGCGGCTCCTGTCCCCATGAGCTCTTCACCCGTTGGCGGCTAGGGGATCAGCGAGCGGTGGTTGCTCGTATTGCGCAGCTTGTGCGGGCGGATGCTCCTGTTGACATCGCCCAGGCCTGACAAAATGCAGGCTGTGTGTCGGTTTAATTCCACGCAGTACTTCTGCGACGCATGGTCTTGGGTGTGTCTTGTGTTCTTGTCCAGGCCAACGAGGGTCTCCGGCAAGAAATCCTTGTCCGCCAAGTTCCGCGGAGGTTGGCTTGGCTTACGCTTGCCAAGATTCAGGAGAGGCTTCAGCGAGCCCGGGATCGCAAACGCAAGCAACAAAAGACCGTGAGCAGCAGCTTCAGAGGCTCTACGAAGATCAGGACCTGCTGGGGCTCACCAGCACAGCAGAAACCGAGGGCGTGGCACGTGAGAAAGCCTTGGGAGATGCGCAGGGGATGCTTGGGAAGAGCTTCGTCAAGCAGCTGCAGGCGCTGCGCAGCATGATCTTCTTGAAGACTACGCTCAAGGAAGCCAAGTCCATGAAGGCGACCGAGCTCGTGGTCATGCTGGGCAAGTCGACAGGACCGGTGGCTGAAGCAGCCAAAATTCTGGTGAATGCTTGGAAGCGCGAGGTGGCAGCTGGCAACAAATCGACTTAGCGGGCGAGCGCGATCTTTGGGGCTCCAGATCCAACGCAGGCAGCGGCGGATCATGCGCANNATGCTGATGTGAACATATGAGGTTCTGGAGCTTCTAGCTGGCTTTTGGGAAGCCGGAGACCCTGACCCAGAGTGCAGAAATCCGGGTGCGGTCCTGGTTTGGGTTTTACTTATCATAGTGAAAAGATGCGGGTATAGGGGTGAACTTGACTGCAAATTCAGTCTTGTTTACATGTACAGGCCTCGGATGCTCTTGTACATGTACTTTCTGTTTCAGCGCTGCTCAGAGCGCAAAGTGGCCTTATGTTCAATTGTGCTTGAACTTTGACTTGAAATTAGTCTTGTCATGCCAACACCCACCAAAAACGCCACCTGCCGCTGCGCGCAAATGCAGTCCATCAGTATTATGATTCGCAACCTGCCGGACGGCATTGCGAGACCACAGCCGGTGTAAAGCGCTGCTCAAACATTTGCGGCACATCTATACTTCTTTTGCAGCAAATCACGTAGTTAGACTTCAAGCTCTCGCCGGACAGGCTACGGCTAACGTTGAGTTTTCTGCAGCCAGCTCATGCTGCAGCAAGGGGAGGGCCTTGGTGTCGCAGCCACCAATGCTGCCACTGGAGACGACTCATGGCGACGGTGAGCACGGATCTGAAGGATCTGAGTTCGAAGCTGCAGAGTGCAGAAGTGGCATCAGTGGAAGCATGAGTGAGGTTGTCACGCCCGGCAGCTCGGCGGATGTGATTGACGTCGGCGCAGATGCAGGTAGTGCGTCTCCTGATGCATCTTTCAACGGGGACGATGTCTCGGCTTATGGAAGCCTTGCCACTGCAAGCCTAGCGGCGGGTGCGGGTGCTGTTGGTGACAGGTCGTCGGGGTACACAGGCGACTGGCTCAGTCCCTTCGGTTGGGACCGACGTTCCAGATCCAACGCAGGCAGTGGCGGATCATGTGCAGGTACCGCTTTGGACGAGGACACAGATGCTGATCTGGACATGTCAGGATCGCGTTTGGGATCGCCGCTGACGCCTGCTGCCATTGCCAGCGAAGCTGACCAGGAGGCTGAGACCCAGTCTGTCGCCGTGGAGATTGGCGACATGCGCGCGCGGCGCATTTACAGCTGCACTTTCGGATGGTGTGCAACCCAACACATGTCCCCGCAGCAGATGTGGGAACGTGTCGGGCTTCGGGGCATCTTGGATGTGTGCTGGGATGCTTTCGGTGCACTTCAGCTTTCTCTGCGGTATCGAGGCTTCGAATGCTTTCTGCAGGGCCATCTGCCGGAACTTCCACATGCGGGCCAGTCCATCATTCTCCGCGTCACGGTGCAGGAGTTTTGCAAGGACAGACAGTCATCCACTACAGTTGCACCTGGAGTTTGAAAGCTGCGGAGGGCCTGACCCCTCTTCAGATCTGGGATTGCTTGGGGATTGCGGGTCCTTTGCAGACTGCGATGACTCAACATGGGCACTTGAGTTTAGATGCACCGGCGCATGCCGACGTCTGCCTGAGCCTCGCCATTCGGCAGGAAGACATGTGAGGTTCTGGAGCTTCTAGCTGGCTTTTGGGAAGCCGGAGACCCTGAACCAGAGTGCAGGAATCCGGGCGCGGTCCTGGTTTGGGTTCTACCTATCATAGTGAAAAGATGCGGGTATAGGGGTGAACATGACTGCAAATTCAGTCTTGTTTACATGTACAGGCCTCGGATGCTTTTGTACATGTACTTTCTGTTTCAGTGCTGCTCAGAGCGCAAAGTGGCCTTATGTTCAGTTGTGCTTGAACTTTGACTCGCAATTAGTCTTGTCATGCCAACACACACCAAAAGCGCCACTGCCGCTGCTCGCAAATGCAGTCCATCAGTATTATGATTCGCAACCAGCCGTACGGCATTTCTGAACCGCACCATTCGGCAGGAACTGCATCCTTGAGGCATTCAAAAAAGCGGCCCGCAAATGCCACCTGCATCGTAGTGTCTCTTGCCCAGCTCCATGCACTGTTTAGTTGACACCGCTGTTTTCGAGCCAGGACGTCCAGTTCCCCAGATCACGCCGCCGCCGCGGACGCTGCCCGTCGCAGCTCGCTTCCGGCCGCCGCAAAGAACCACTCGCTCCCGGCGACCGCAGAGACCCAGGTGGACGGTGGAGGACGACAGCTGAGGTTGAAGGAAACTACCCAAACCCTATGACTTCAAACCCTAAGCCCGAACCCCTTTTGCCTTCTGGAGGAGCCCCTCCGGTCCGGCGCACCAAGTTGGAAGTATGCCGGGGACCTGAAGGGTTTAGGGGTTAGGGTTTAGGGCGTTTTTGATATCTCTGGGGTTGATGTCTGGGGCTTAGGGTTCAGGAGTTTAGGATTAAGGGTCATATGTCTCCGACTGAGGATTTCGCTCGGCTTGACACCGATTCCTTGCACCCAAACGAGCGTTTCCCTAGTTGGGTGCCGGGTTTAAGGCGTTTTTGATATCTCTGGGGTTGATGTCTGGGGCTCAGGGTTCAGGAGTTTAGGATTTAGGGTCATATGTCTGGGTTTACAACTCCTTATAATGGAACTCTGCAGGTTGAAGGCATGTTATCGCGCTGGAATTCTTGGGAACTCTAAGGCAACCCTGAACCCTAACCCTCAGATCATTTCTTCAGCTCCCACGTCTTCGACCTCCTCAGCTTCAAAAAGAGCCACGCAAGCCCTAAGCCGTTGCGCAGGCGATCGTTCCTTCAGCAACGTCTTCGCCAGCAGCTGCCGGTACGAGGTCAAACCAAAAAGCCCCTATCCCCTAAACCTAAACCCTTAAGCCTAAACCCGGCGGCTGGAGAAAGGCCATTGCACTTTTAAAAAAAGCCTAAACCCTTAAGCTCTAAACCTAAACCCTTAAATTGGCATGGACCCGAATAAATCAATCCGCCCTGCGGGCAGCCCAATAAGAAGAACAAAGAGTTTGCAGCTTTCATGCAGGAGCTCATTACTGTATCAAGACTGCAGCGAGCCTTAATCACTAGTCTTGCAAGTAGAAGTGGGTTTTGGGGTACAGTGTACTCCAAGTCTGTGGCGGCATACTATTCAATTTTATTTTGCGAAGCAGCCGGATGTTTCCCACGGCCCGCAAAGTCCATGGAACACGGAACTGTCGGTGCAAGCGGCCTACAAATTAGGGGTTTAGGGTGAGACCTTTGGCCGAAACTGCAACAGCCCTGAACTTTCATAGTCACCCCTAAGCCCCTAAACCTTAAATCCACCCTGAACCCCAGCCCCAAACCCCAGCCTCGTCCTTGCAATCCCTGAGAATCAAGCGAAGCAGCTGGAACCTGAACTGGGCTCTATATTATATTGGAATATATTACATAATATGATCAAAAATACATAGAAAATAGCTCCCTAATACGTGAAAGCGTTGTACAGTTAGTAGTATGCTTCCTCGCATTCGAACGCGTCGGCTCTACTCGGAGTACGGTCGTTCAAAGGGTGTAGGTTAGAAGGTGTTGGGGAAGGTTTAGGGCTTCGGGGGTTAAGGGATTGGAGGTCTTGAGGTTGCTTTTTGAGTTTTGTTTGGGTTTATTCGGGGAAGGATTGGGTTGGCAGGAACAGACAAACCGTAGCACTTGTAGTCGTGGTTTAGGAACAGGTGGGGCCTGTCATGACACCAGCTAAACCCTATACCCTGGATTCCATGCGCCACAGGCTCTGAAGTACGTCTCCTTTACAGTGCAGATGCTTGGGAAGAGCTTTAAGATGATATCTGCCGGACCCTTATGGGAGTTTCAGAAACTCAAGGACACTTATAGAGTCCTAAACCGTAGGAACCTTATCCTGCAAACTTTTGCAAGTCGAACGTGGAATGACGTTCGACTTCCACCTCGGGTTACGCATCCAAACCCCGTGTCCTAAACCCGACTCAGTCGACCCCCCAAAATGAGTTTCAATTCAAACCCCTAAACCCCTAAAGCCTAAACCCCTAAACCCTAAAGCCCTAAACCCTGAACTTTCAACCCCTAAACCCTAAACCCCTTAACCCTAAACCGTAAACCCTCAACTCCGCATCTCGCAAGGGCATGCTTTGGGGCATCCTCATTGATGGCAAGAGCTATAGCCTCCAGGAGGGAATTTTGAGGGCTTCCGGGGTTTTGGGTTTTGGGGTTTATGGGGGGCCTCAGGGCTTTGGAGTTTCAGGCTTAGGGGGCTTAGGGGGCTAATCAAGATTTCCGGGGCTCTTGTTAAGGGATTTAATATAAGCTACCATAATAGGGATCTTTTGTAAATAACAGGGTTTCTTTATTCTGGAAACATTTCGAATTCGAGGAGTTCAGGATTTGGGGCTTGGGCCTTGGGGGCGGAGTTTGTGGTTCAAGGGTTTCGGATGGAGGCGGCAGCCTTTTGGAGGCTTTCTTGACACTGCGTAGGCCCCAAGACCTAAGCACTGTAAAGGCCCACGTCTTGTTTTGGGCTTCAGAACTCAGATTGATCAGAATCTGCACCTTTGACCATAAATTCCGAACGGGCAAAGGTTCTTGTCATGCTAGCTGGGCCACTATTGTGAGCCTCCAATATATGAATCTGAATATAGGGGTCTGAGCAGCGATAACTATCCCCATATACCGAAACTGCATGAGTCAGACAGAGGTATATCGTACCCCATATCCCTATGGGGATACCGCAGAAATGCAACGAATGCTAGCTTAAAGCGCGGCCCGGTCATCATGTTCTACCAGAACAGCCTGCAGATCTCTGAGAACAGCGACGGCGAGGCAGGCACGTTGATAGGGTTATTGTTATTCGCAAATAGGTCAGGTTTTGAGTGCACTTCCTAATTGGCGTCCAGCCCGCGGGGAAGCTGTGTCTGCTTTGCTCGTG